GTCGGGGGGCTCGGGTGTCCCCAGCCCGCTGCGGGGTCGGGGGGCTCGGGTGTCCCCAGCCCGGTGCCCGGGTGAGAGGTGGGGGTTGAGAGGATCCCCAGCTCAGCAGAAGCCACCGAGAGAATGAAATTCAATGTCCCCGTTTATTATTTTGAAATCCTGGAGGAGGAGAAGGAGGAGGAGAAGGAAAAGGAGGAGGGAAAGGAGAAAGAGGAGGAGGAAGAGGAAGTGCCAGGCAGCCCTAAAACTTTGCACCCCACATCCGTCTCCCGCTGCTGCCGGGTTTGTGGGGTGACACCATCGCTCCCTGTCCATCCCAGAGCTCCCCCAGGCTCGGATTCCCAGCCTGTTCCCAGCTCCAGCCGCTCCGTGCCCATCCCAGCCCTTCCTGCCCTGTTTTCCCGAGATTTTAACGGGCTGTAAAACCCGTGGGAGGAGAAGCTCTGCCCGGCCCTGGGAGCCTCCCCCGGGACCAGCCCTGCCCGTGGCCTGGCCGAGGGGAAGGTGAGAGCTCCGATGGCCTCTCCTCACGCAGGGAATGTCCCCCCAGGGGTGGATCCCGAGGCGTTTTCCTGGTTCCAGACAGTGGATACGGATCGCAGCGGCTTCATCTCCGTCAAGGAGCTGAAGCAGGCGCTGGTCAACAACAACTGGTCCTCGTTCAACGATGAGACCTGTCTGCTCATGATCAGTGAGTTTGGGATCTCCTTCCCCTCTTCCTGGTGTTGATCTGGTTTGTTTGGATTTGGGCTGAAGCCCATCCCGACAGAATTCCCGTTTTCCCTGGGCAGCGCTCCTGGCTGGAGCCACAGCTGGGCAAACAAAGCAGCTCCCAGTGGTGCAGGGCACGAGTGAAGGGCCCAAAATCCTGCTTGGAAAAGGAAATCCCAGCTCTGCACAGGCCCCAGATCCCAGAAAGACAAGGAGGAAAGGGAGGGAAAGCCTAAAAAACGTGGAGACTGACCCAGAGCTTGCCCCATCCTCAGCTTTCAGTGCCGTTTCTTCTCAGCCTTGGGGGTCGAGTGGTCCGTGGATCGCAGTCCTGATGAGGGGGGATTTTTGGGATCAGAGCAGGATTCCAGGGAGCCGTGGTGTGGATCCTGAGCTCCCTGGAAGTTTCTGCAGCTTTTCCACTCCTCCCTGCCCAGACATGTTTGACAAGACGCGGTCAGGACGCATTGATGTCTACGGCTTCTCCGCCCTGCTCCGCTTCATCCAGCAGTGGAGAAGCCTGTTCCAGCAGTATGACAGGGATCAATCCGGCTCCATCAGCTTCAGCGAGCTCCAGCAAGGTGGGTGAGGGGCAGAGGCACCAGCCTGGCCTGTCCTGACCCCCCCAGTGCCACTGCCTGGCTCTGTTCCCAGCTGGAAACTGGAATTCCTCCTGGGGTGGTCCCTGCAGCTGAGCTGGGGGGCTCTGAGCTCCTGGGACGCTTCCAGAGCAGTTTGGGAATTGTCCACTGGATGAAGCAGGCTGGCAGGGGACAGGAGGACAGGAGGTGATGAGCAGGGCTGGGACACAAACTTCCTTCGGGAAGCCCAGAATTCCCCCTCAACTATGCATGGCTGGAACCTGTTCTGTTGGGAGGGGCTCTTGGGTGTGTGGAGAGGGAAAAACGCCTGGAATTTGTGGTTTGATTCCTCTGGAGAGCCCTGCCCGTGCACACCCTGAGTGGGAAGTGTGGGAAGGGTGGTGGTAGTGGGAGATAGGATGTGTGGGACATGGCAGGGGAGGACACAGCCACTCTCCCTCCTTTTGGGAAGGTTTAATCCGAGTTTTCCTTGCTCCCAGCTTTCTCCCAGATGGGCTACAACCTGAGCCCCCAGTTCAGCCAGCTGCTGCTGGCCCGGTACGCCCAGCGTTCTCCCAATCCCAGTATCCAACTGGACCGGTTCATCCACATCTGCATGCAGCTGCAGAGCCTCACCGACGCCTTCCGGGAGAAGGACACGGCGCTGGTGGGAAACGTCCGCCTCAGCTACGAGGATTTCCTCGCCATGGTGGTGACCCGGATGCTGTGACATCCCCTCTCCAAAGGCTGGGAATTCTGGAGCTCTCCAGGAGCTTCAGCTGTCTTCATCTTCCCTCTGGGATGTGGCTAAGCTCCCTTCCCCTCCGAGAGTTCCCCCTGGGGCCAAATTTCCAGCTTGATCCACCCCAAATCCTGCTGGTGTTTTCCTGGCTTGGATTCCTAATGTCCATTCTGTGGGAGTCAGGATGAATCCCATGCCAAACTGGGACAGCCAAAGCAGCTTAGATCCTGTGCCAGCCCCAAATTCCAGCTTCATCCCAAGGTGCCTGCAGCAGAACATCCCTGTTTTGGGGAAGAAAAGCTGAGCCTCGGGTTTGGAAGCAGTAGGAAAGGGGAAAAGTGAGGACAAAGCTCCTTCCTTTCCTCCCTGAGTGTCCTGGGAGCTCATCCCGCCCCCAGGAATGCTTTCCTGGGGGTCTCATCCCCATTTCTCCGGGGGCTGCTGGAATGGGATGCACTGCTGCAGCCCCACGGGATCGTCCCCTCACTGTTGCCAATCCTGAAGCCAAATCCAGACAAAGTTTAGAGCTCAGTTCTTCCAGCTTTGGAATAAAAGGCGTTGTGCTCCAGCTGCTCTGTGGTCTCTGTGTCCAGGGGAGCTCCAGAGGACATCAGGTGTCTCCTGTCCCCCTCAGTGACACCAGGGGACACGTCCTGTGCCTCTCTCCTTGCTCCCAGCGTTGGACACCATTCCCTAAAATCAGTTCTTAGGAATTTCATGTCAAAATACAGAAAAGAAAGGACTGGGAGGCTCCTGAGGCACAGAGAAATCCGACAGATGCTGAAGTTTTCTTCCCAAGTGACGTCCAGGGGATAAACCTGGAATTTGCCTCGAGGAATCTCCAGGAGATGTGAAGGAATTCTTAGGGAATAAAAGGTTAAAAGGTCTGAGATCAGAAGGAAGAGCCCAACCTTGGTGTTTTCTGTGAGCTCGGTGTTTTCCAGCCCCAGGCAGCACTGGCTGTTCCCAACCATCCCTAAACATTCCCAGGATATTTCTCCCCTGAGCATTTCCAATATTTGTGTTGAGTCAGAGCTCAGCCCTACTTGGGCTTGAGGCAGAGGGGTTGAGGGCTCCAAATATATCTATATAAATATAGAATTCCTGTTTTATAGATGTATTATTTTATAGAAGTATTTTATATATCTTATATATGTATTATATATATTTTATAGATTATATATATAAATATATATAAAATACACATCTGTAAAATATATGTAAAATCCATATATATATATAAATACATACAAATATATATAAATATACATACCTGCATATAACATAAAGATATATTTCTATATTTTAATATATATATTTATATACTAACACAGGTGTATATATATAGGTGTATATTTACATATATGTAGGTGTGTGTACATGCATATTTTCACATATAAATATACATATATATAGGCATGTTTTTATATATATGTACATATATATATACACAAACATATTTAAAATATTCAATATTGCATATTGTATATATTATATAATATATCAATATCAATTATATTAATTAAATTATTATATTTATTACATTAACATATATATTATATATTATATATTATATATTATATATTATATATTATACATTATACATTATATATTATATATTATATGTTATATATTATATATTATATATTATATATTATATATTATATATTATATATTATATATTATATATTATATATTGTAATACAATATATTATAATTAATATTATATTAATATATTATATATAAGTATACTGATTCGTTATATTAATTATTAA